AAATACTGTATCATCCTTGTCGTTAGCGGTTAATGTATAATGCAAAAATTTAATTTTCCCCGTTATCCCCTAGATTTAAAGAAAAAAACATAAAATCCCACTTAGTAACCACAGTTAGATACAACGATAGAGAATCGATGGGAAGTCGAGAAGGAATGTTATAATATATAAAAGAAATTAATAATTAACCAAATAACAAATATTATCCGAACATCTTCATCGATAATGGCCAAATAAGATTTTCAAAAATTGTTCATACATAACAAATTATTCAGAGAAAAAAATGTTATGCGGTAAATAGGTACAATACTAAAATTAGTTTTCGCAATTTTAACAATAAAAAATGATTGCGCAATTTTAACACGTTTTTTACGTAAAATATATTATACATCTTCGTTAATAATTAAAGTAAAATGTATTTAATAATAAATTCAAAGTGTAATAAATCAGTTTGAAAAAAACCTTTTAGTTTTCATTATAGAGAATAAATGTTTCGAATTATTGATGTTCTATAAGTAGGTATAATGCATAATAATATATTATGTTGTGTAATACATCTCTACTTACTACGTGACGAATTAAAAGCAATATTATGTTCATACTATATCTAACCAATGTTTTAATTATAGATAATTATTATGGTCCAAACATTAAATTATAATATTTACTGTATCTGACCTAGACTAATTAATAATAATAACCTTCTACCTGGATGTGTTCAGTATAATAATAAATAGTAATACTCATTTGTAAACAGCATTCCGACCAACCTTTTCGGATACAAAACGTAAATATTTTGGGTTTTCTCCGATTACATATTTTGAACACGATAAAAACTTATAGCGTCGCAAATACAACAGAAAAAAAAATCATACGTCCACTACGTTAGAAATTTGTGGAATATTTTATAAGGAAAACACGTCTGTTGAAAAAAACTAAATAAAAAATAATAATAATAATTATAAAATACATAATAATAAAGCAATGAGAAAATGGGTGTACAAGAGAGAGAGAGAGAGAGAGAGACGCTATGGTGAATTTATTTTCCCAGAACAACGAACTTCGTGGTTGTCGGCATTGTTTATGCGGTTGAAAATTCTGAAAGGACACACACACACACACTTTGTAAGGTGCACGACGATTTCTGTGTTTTTTTAGGTGCGGAAAAGAAAGACAAGTGATTAATGCGCACGACAATACGCAAGTGTTGGAAAAAATTGCATTGTACACGGTTGATATTTCGGCGGTATTCACGAAAACGTTTTTTTGATGAACAACACGCGGCGACAACGTCGTCGGCCTCTGCTGTTCTATCGATCATCTGTCCAACTCGGCGCCCCGCCGGAGGCTTTAGCTCGGAAACCACGAATTCCCCGGCGTATGAAATAACGCATCTTTACTACAGTTGAACCACAAGTAAAACCATACCCAGTGTTTTTTATCTTTTCTTAATTGCTTGTACCGCCCTCCCCTGTCCGTATCGGAAAAGAAAATAATTCACCGTCAATGAACGCGTGGTATTCTGATCGAAAGCTGTTATTTCTGCAGTTCGTTTTAACTTCAAATGAGAGAGATAAATTAAAAAACACCACATTATCCGCTTGTGTAGAGATCCGTAGTGTGTCGTCTAGGCAGGCGGAAGGCGAAGGGTTTGACAACTTCTTTCCGATAGTAGATGTACAGAAGCAGGTATAGGGTCAAAGAGTGAAATTACTTATGACAGAGAAATAATAATAATAGTAACAGAAGTGATAGTAATAACAAACCATTTATAATAGTATTAATAAACGTAAAAAAATAAACGATATTAAATACCTCCTTTTTGTAGAAGTGATGGGTTTTTACTTTCGTCATTATGAACATCATAGTCACATTTCAGTCTTTGCTGATAAAATCAAAAAATTATTTTATAAAAGTTTATATCCTTCAAAATCTCAAGTGCAACGATGACTAATAAATGAGAGAAAATCATAAATACCATTCGTAACATTGACATCAACTAACGTCTACGTTGCGTTCAATCAATCGAAACATTAAATCAATTATCAATTTCGTTTATGAGTAATATATTATTATTATATCTGTACAAAAGCGAGTAAAATTGTTATTGAAAGTTCGTGTTTTGTTGTCTAACTGCGCAGTTGAATATGGATTTACTGTATAACTACGGGTTTGTTAAAATGTTATATTGCCCTCTTATACATAAAATATTTGAAAAATGCTGATATTTAAAATTTCAGACGGTCCAAGTTGAGTAAACTTATACGCTGAACAAGATGAAAAATCTGTTTCTCAATCATTGACAGTCATGCACTCGTATCGTTTACCTGGTTAAACGGTTTAACTTCTACGATTCTAACGCAATAATAGTTTTAATTAATCATTAAAGAAAAATTGTAATGCCGAGTGCTAAATAAATTTAATTAGTCGAAGAAATATTTCAAAACGTGCTGATCCACTGACTTTTTTTATACTTCAAAAAGCTAAATAATTGAAAATCATAAAATAGTCCAGAGGTTTATCTAAAATTAATTCAAGGCAAACAATATTTTCATAGTTAAAACTTGTTTGAACTAAATTTATTATTAACGCTTTGAGATATAATCGATAATAATCACAGTATTACCCAACGTTTTTATATTTTGAAGAACGAATGAAATAAATTAAATAATTACCCATGCATTTTTATTTAATTTATTCGTAAATTACACGTATAATTTAGTTGGATTAGAAATATGTATTATTTATTGTAATACGTGCATTTTAATTAGGTCGGAATCGAATATGTCATTAAATATTTCGATTAACTGAATGTAATGAGCACAAGTGAATAAAATAACAAACAAATTCTTCATTGTAATGTTTGCTGGAGATCGCTAACAATATAGTTTGCTAATAAACTACAAAGCTATTATAGATAACATGATATTTAAATATTAACGGCTGATAGAAATAATAAAAGAACAATATCAAACTGTGTAGCCTTCGACCGGCAATTCCGTCAACAGCATAACATTGTATACGCTTTTAGTACAATTATCGGACCACCCGTCTGGCGGAAATACCTATATTCCGACAGACAGCGGCGACGTTTTGCAGCTAATATGTAGTGTTATAGTGGACACGCGTTAATAAATATTTAATTTCGATTTAAAATATATAATGGCTACCGACTGAGAAGAACGATATCATAATAATAATCGGAATTTCAAATCATCCGTTTTATCGAAATGAAAAGGAGAGAAAAGAAGAGCGTTAAAAATATATATATATATATATATATATATATAAGCACATATTACAAAATATATGCGTAATATATGGTATAAACCGAGAGCGAATCAAATATTCTCCAAAATCAATAAATTACCAAGTAACACGAACGACTGTCTCATTGGTATTCAGCAGGTGTTCAGACACTATGGACGGGAAGAGTTCGTCGAGCACGTTAGAGCGAGATGTATAGTGTATAATATATGTATACATATATAATGACGTGTGTAGAACAATAGCACCGCCGCAGACTGGGGGACATGACAATAATAATGCATTAATTCGTTCGTGGGTTTTGGTTTAGTTTTAGTTTTTTTCTTCTTCCGATTCGGCTATCAAAGTTTTTCGGATAAATTCCATAACACAAGTACCATATACATATAAAATATAGTCTCTTCTGGGAACGCATTAAGAAACAACAAAAAAAATCATAAATGGTACTATGCATTGATTTAAAATGAAATAGGCGGTACCCCTCACCTCCTCCGTGTTCAACGGCGCGATAATTAAATTATTAAATTAACTTCTCAAGCGGCTTTGCGTTTTACTCTGCTTTAGTTCGAAGAGAGTTTAATAAATTGCACGACGACGATTCTTTCAGTAACTTACAAATTGCACGAAATCAGACTTATAGAAAATAACGTCTTCGAAGAAAGCGTGATTACTGCAGGCAGTAGTAATGGAATTATGTTTTTCGATGTTCCTAGTTATCGAAATATTATAATTCGTAGTAAAATTTCTTTAAATAACACTGCCAGTTTTTGATGGTTTGTTGAAATTATAGTATACACTTTCGAACGCGATAAATATTCAATGCAATCAATGCAGTTATCTTAAGATTATAATAAAAAACCGATCGATACTATTATGATAAAATATTACTCGAACAATGTCGTTTTAGTAATTACGGTACATAAAGGCATCGGGTTACTTTCTGATTCGACTATGTGACGTACGATGAAACAGAATAAAAGTGAAAAAATAATGTTCATATAATGCAAAACATCGTTTATATTTTTGAGTAATTTCTATATTGAAAAGGGTTCAAATGTGTACATCATTTTATAGTTAATTTATGCATCGTATCCAGTACAGGAATGAATGTAAATATTTAAATTTTTCGGATATATATATATATATATCTCGTGTACGCGTGTGAACATAGTAGTTGTTCTGCGACGACTAAAATAGTGTTGTGGTAGAATAATAAAAACGAAAATACTACACAAGCAAACCAAACGTGTGCAAATTGTGACGACAGCGAACACCACTATATAACCCATGGTATATTTTACGTATACATTATATTGCCGGCGTCGTTTTATTACTTCACGGTTAATGACGCGTTCAATTGCCTGTTTTAGCATTAATCCTGTTGAACGAATTTCTGCGATTGTCCGCTGCAATAGATTTGATTATTGGGTTTAATAACAAACGACCGACGATTTACGACTCGAGCTTTTTCATTTATAGCTTTAACGGATAAGCAAACGCGGACGTCAAATTACTCAACGGTCTTGGAATTGTTTTAATTCGCGGGCACATGGCACGATTTACAACTATACGCATAAAATAACCCTCTTTTTCTCGACATACTCGCCCGCATTATAACAGTTGAACATCGCATATTATCTACGTACGTGCCCGGGCGGTGGTGTTCTAATTTATTATTATTTTGATCCATTATCGTTTATTTATGTACACGTGTGAATATAAGCAAAACTCACTTGGGACAAATGATTGAACTTGAAATCTCGGCTATCAGGGAAATCTTCGCTGTCCTGGAATTGTTTTTCTTCTGTTCTGATCAAATTTCCGTCTTGATCTTCGTCCTCAGCGCCACCGACCTCGGGACCCTGAGATCTTGCCAGTCCATCGATGTACGATTCGAGAAACGCATCGCCTCTGGAAAAGTATGTACCTCAATATTAATACATGACGAAAAATTAATGTAATTATACATAAAGTTTAACTAAAATGAGTATACATTTTGAACTTCTATTAACATACTATACACGTATACATTAAAGTTATAGTAATATGTACGTTTTATTAGGTCGTGTGTCGTGTATCGTATTAATTTATGCCGTACGATAAATGAATAAATGAATATTACATCTATATACATCTATATACATATACGATCTCAAAGAATAATTATTAACTGTTTATATTTTTGCATTATATACATTCAAAATTTAATAAAATATTTTATTTGTTATGCTATGAATGTAAAACAAATAATAACATTCTATAAAATTCGATTTAAATTAATTGCATGTATAATAAAATAAACTATATATGTATATGCTGATATATGATTTAACAGTAATCTAATATTTAACAAAGTTCTATTTATTTTCACCAATAAAATTACCCTATAAAATACAAAATAATGAAGTTTTGACAAGTTTGCCACGAATTTCTGCACAGCCAATATTACTCCCCTAAAATATAAAAATATTAACCACAGACATTTATATACTATTATATCCCAAGGGAAAAACTCAGAACTGGATATAATTGCTCAAATAACCATTTAGATTTTATCGTTTCGCATAGGCCGGGCGTCAACGTTATTATACGCTTCACTTTTATGTACAGTGGTCCCTTATACACGACTTAAGAATCAAAATTCAAACAAATTAAAAAAAAGAGATTTTATTTGCGCTTTGATCATTAAGCTAAAAAATAATAATATATATAATTATATACATAAATATAACAAATAAAAGTTCAAAAAGAGCAAGACAATTAGTACAACGGAAGTGTTCTGTTTTGATAAGCGGAGATTAAACAATCTCGACCATCCCTTTTGGGTAGGGGTTTATTACGAGACAACCCTTTCAACTGAAGGCACAATTAGCGTGTGCGCGTGTGCGATACTGTGTGTATGATGACGGTCGAAATGGTAACCTGAATGGTAACAACGCTTTGTTTATGTTTCACGCAAGTCATTCTGGGATGTATGTGTGGTTATAATGGAACTTGAGTGACAACAAGAAGGGGACACCACATCAAACCAAACAACATTTCAATTATAAATACTTAGAACGGAAAACTCTGTGGAGCAAAAGAAAACAGTGTCGACGTTTTTATTAAGGAGTTTAAGTAATGTGTGCACATTTAAAACATATATAAATATAAAATATTTATTTCAAAGAAATAAACGAATAATATATTCTCAATAAAGGTCGTGGCGTATTTTTTAATGTATTTTTAATATTCTGAATCCACCTAAAGGCTGATGGGGTTTATACATTGAAGATAAACGATGAGTTTTATATTATGGAACGGATTAGAGCCCTTTTAAAAGCTTCTTATCAATCGACATGAGCGTTTAATAAATAACTTTTGCAAAGAGTAGGATGATATTTAGGCAACAATGACGAAGAGATTTAGTTTTCAGACGTTAGCTATGACAATATAATCGGATTACATGATATATAGCTTCTCTCTTTGAACAAATTTAGCATATATAACTAATAAAAGCAAGTACATAAATACAAATAGTGCAATATTTGGATTTTGAATTTTGAAATTATATACAACCTCGAGTCGGGATAAAATCTTTATACATTATACATTTCTTATTAATTATAAGTCATCAATGATTAAAAAACGAGGAACACGCACTGTTGAAATATAACGATTTAATATCAATTCCAATTTATCGTAGGTTACTAAACACGTCAACAATATCAATTATTATTGTCGCATCAAAGACTATTGATGCCGTACCCTAAACAATAAACATAATATATATACGTAGTTTAGATGTAATATCCGAGAGCGGTTTTCAATAATTTATGTTATGATTTTAGAATGGTATTACAACTATGTGTTTAACGTTCTACGCGTACATAATAAATCAAACTTGTATAAAATAACTATTTTAAATTGTATGACCCAGCAAATGGTATTTTAAATTTATGAAAATTATTATATGCAATTTATTAGAAAAAACCCTACACACATATTACATGTAAACCATAGAATGATGGAAAGAGCATCACGTATAATTGACGGAAATTCTATTTTCATGAAGGTTGTCAGTATATTAACATTATCATCATTCCAACGGCACCCGATGCATTAAACCTGGTCCAGAGAGATATCAATTAATTTCATCCCGGAAGGAAAATAATTAGTTTTGCAACCCCTCTCTCGGCAGTTCATTATATAGAGGGAAAATTCATTGACAGGAATTTACAGTTAAAGGCATCATATAAAAACTATAATACCGACCTAATACCCTATGATGAAATCACAGTTTTCTTACTCTTCATTAGAAAGTATTATTGTTCTATAGTCATTTTTTTTCTATATTATTTATTATCTTGATAGTTTGTTTTTAATGTTAACCTGGGGTAAAACCGTTGAGCGTAATATCTATAATCCATTTAAAAATTAATGCGTTTAACCGAACTAGATTTAAGTAAAATCTAAAATTACCAGTAATTATATTTATTTATACGAACCTAATAGTACATACATAAGCATATTGTAAATATTTTTAGATTGCCACAGTAAAATATTATTAACACATTTTACAGACTATAACACGTTAACGGATATATTTTATGTATAATGTTATCCTTATACAGATAAATTATAGGAAATCTTGCATTAATCCGATGTTGAAGCATTATTTATGAGGAACTCCACAAGATAAATGCAGTAATTAATTTTCATTAAGAATTATTATACGGCAAGCTTTTTTATTAAAACAAATAAATACGTCTGGATATAAATAAAAGTGTTAATTATACACTTCTGGAGAGGAATTTTGTTGTTGCTGTATATTTTATTTTTTCTAAATAAAACGTGCTCAAAGTTTTAAACTGTTATTACTTTTTGCATTCGAGAGAGACAAAGATGAAATCCCTGCGGAGCATGTTTCCATGTCAAATCCAATAATCTGGGCAGCTGAATTTGCCAAGGAAATCTCTTTAAAACAAGTATATCTCGGCAAAGGGTATATATACAAACATACTCGTATATCTTTTTACAGTGTATTCCACCGAACGGTAACCAATTTATAGGTTGTCCAGTATTATAAAGTCATAAGGTAATAAAGGATTATATCTGATAAAAGGACAGCCGGGTGGCCCCATTGTCGGTTCCCTCACAGTTTTAATACCCGAATGTCACAGACAGACTCATGGTCGCCATGGAAACTGTCTGCAAATCCCTATTCCATACTACCCTAGTGTGTTTTAGTTTATACATACTATGCATGTGGACAAAAAAAATTACACTTCTTGCAATCACCCTTTGTACCAAATGAGTCATTTCAGTTGCACCACAAGTTCGTAACACCCTTTTAGATCCCTTCAATTTGAATATGATGATTTTCCTATACATTAAAAAAAAAAACTTGATTACAGAACATGAACTTCAAGGTTAAGTAATAAGCATATACACCCTATATACATTTTATTTATTTCTTTCGTTAATTCATTTTGGGGTAAATCATCAAAGAAAAATATTGCCTTGTGTATAGTTTATCATAAAAATAATTTAAATAATAATGCCATCTCAAAAATAAAACAAATCAAAGGTGTAATATTTTATTGGATTTTTGGCATTAATAGAAAATCATATGCGTACTATAATGTATGTAGAATGAGATTTTATAGATTACCTACGCGACTGTAATTATTATTAATGCACAAACACAACACAATGTATAATTTCATATCGACTTATCACACAATGTGCACACTGCACAAATGCGAGTAATTATAGAGGATATATATGTTTGTCTTGATATACAATTATTAGATATTTAAATACACTATTTTTTTAATAATAGCTATTGTTTCGTTATGACAGTATTAAAATAAGCCAAATACCAGTGGGGAGTACAGCTAGAATATTTTAGATTAACTATAATATGCTGCACATAAGTATAGGATTACTTAAGGCAACACATTTGGCTTTTTCAAACTTTAAGTGACACGCATCAATGCAAAAAAAAAAAATAAATGTTCATTATTTCAATCGTAAAATATTTAGTGTTTGTACACTACATTTTGTTCGAAACTGCAGTGTAGTTATATTAAAGCAGCGGAGAGGGGGTCAACGTCTTATAATCATTTTCATCCTCAACGAAATAAATTCACGGTCAGATAAATACAGAAACGAGTTTTACATCACAAAGATTAGACACCTATTACGCAAAAACAGGTTGTCAATACAATATTTCGTCTAGTATCCATCATAACATAATATATATAGGCGGAATAGACAAAAACATATGTATCCCAATCCAAACGCGGGACTACATGTACGAGCAATATTATCGGTGTTTCAACGAGAATGCACATCAGCACCCATGGGATCGGATAATATTTCGTGTAACCCTCGTGTACCGCCATACGATTGAGGTACACTGCAAGACCTTAGCAGTTTACTGTTTTTGTTTATTTAATTTTTTTTTTTTTTTTTTTTTGACAAGCAACTGGGCCAAACACGAGTTGTTCTACACATGTATTATGTATGTCTAGCAAAGCCGGGCACGCAGTCTAATCAACTGGAGAGAAAATACATGAAATATTCACACACCCAAAAGGGGCATCTGTATACATAAGGGCAAATATACAAGAAAACGTATTCGAGATATTTCTAGCCTCGACACATTAAGCCTTCGGAAGACAAAATTGTTAAAAAAATATATAAAAATCCAAATGTGTAAGTACCAAGAGTAAATTTTTTTCGGAAAAATGTACTACGATGTATAGTATGTCATAAGATAACATATTCAGAATGATAATAACGTACACGGATACGCATTTTACGCACATGTTTCTCGGTAACCGAACATTTTTAGGTAGGCATACTAGGTCAATAAAAAAATATGAAATTCGAAAAAAAAATTACTCTCTGTATCAATAAAATAAATATAGGTTACCGAATGGAAATTGAAAATCATAATGTGAAAATTAATTTATTACGTATACAGTTCCATGTATTTTTTTAAATATGTTATAAATAGACCGATGTTTTAAACGATTTTGAAAACAAATAAATAATCGAATGAATAATTCAAATTAGTTAACATCTTAAAGTTTAATTTTAATTTACAATTATTTAAGGGTTTCAGGTAAAGTATTGTTTATATAATCATACTATTTAACTGTATAATATAGTTTATCATTATTGTACTTCTTATTTAACTTATATGTGCATAATGCAAAAGTTTAAGAAAAATAAGCCCAAAATCAAATATTTGTAATTAATTAAAAATGGATGTGTTATATATGAACCTGTAAATTTATTAATAAAAAACTAGCTTTTGATTATTTTGTGAATAAAAATAAAATAATTACAATATTATTATTTAATGGTTGTTAATTAATTAAATTTTATAATTCTAATCAATATGCTATCTAAACATTTTTTTGCAAAATATTTTTTTATTTTTTTTTAATCCATTTATCTTTGTGTAGCATTAATTTGATTACCTATACTCGTATTTATTATTATAACGATAACTTTATTTTGTTGGTCAAAACTACACTTCAATAATTAAATCGATAATAGACGCATAGGTTAGTTAATTTCTCAGTTAATTAGAATCAATGTAAAAATATATCATTTTCATGGATAGTCTCGAAATTTGACAAAAAATCACGATTTGATAAGCTGCGTACACACAAATTTGACTTTATAAGTACTCATTGGCGAGTTTAGCGAACAGTCAGACGTATTTTCAAAGAGGAGCGGGAAGCGTATTTAATTAAGCATAACACTGCGTGGAACAGTTCCCTTTGAGACAAAACTTCTTCCCGAATAGGGGAGAAAATAATAAATTTCAATCGTTAGCATGCTATTGTCTTAGCATGCTTTTAACGTTAACCGATTTTTCGCTCCTGTTTTATATTTTTTCAAATGAAATCTTCACTAGTACGTTTTAGTTTTAAATCCACACTATATAATAAAGACTAAAATTCTTGTATTCATCAAAAAATGAGAATAAGAAAAAAACTTTAGTTTTCCTTTAAAGAATGAGGAAAATATTTTTTTATGTATGTTGGTGTAAAAATGAAAGGACAGAGAATCCGGTAATCGGATTAATCGACCGAAACGAACGGAAACTTTTGAGTGAACAACGAAGAGAGTGCTCGACAAAAAATCATTGAATATATGTTGATAAGGGCAACAGTATGTCCATTTAGTCTTTAAATCCAATCATGCGAAAGTTTAAAATCCATTAATAGAAACACCAATGTATATGGTGTGTATTATTAATTCTATAAGCTTGTCAGTCTTGAAAATTAAAAGTAAAATATAGTTTATTAATAGTACTTGGATAATTATTTTGAAATAATAATCAAATTATAATGAATAAAAAGTTGTTATTATAAAAATTACCCACCAACTTAAACATTTACCATATAGCTGTTATCGTCAAATCATTCAAATCGAAGGTTATACGTAGGCGATTGAAAATAAATATAAATAAAAAAATCTATATTTTTATTATGAACACCAAATTATGACCAATTAATTTCCATTCAATAATCATTATTATTTCCATTATTTATAACAAAAAATTAGTTGAACACTCATTAAAGTTCAATAAAAAATCCTAAAATGTTCTATACAATGAAAAACTTTTTCATATAAATATATCAAGCATAATTTTATAATAAACTTTCTAGTTTCAGAAAAAATATAAAAAACGTTACACTCTTAATTTTATTAAATTTATATCGAGTTTCGTGAAGACGATAAGTATTCTAAAGATTACGAGTTTCGAAAATTTCATAATAAGAAAAATGTATGAAAGATGGGATTAAAAGGGATAACTGTAAGTAATTTATAAAACCAATTTAAAAGGAAAATATTTTGGAAAATACATTAAACTTTTTTAAATTTCATACGTTATAGAAACAAACCAAAAAGAAAAAAATTAATTTAAGAAATATATATTATCCCTTCGTTCGAAAATATAATAAATAACATAACAAATATGTCATACACACTATCAACACAAATGGACACAACTATAATAAGTATAAAACCACAATATATATTAAATCTATTATGTGTGATAAAAACTACTAACTATAAATACATTTCACAATTATTTATGGGGATAGTTTTAAAGAATTTTCTTAAGTTTGAACGATATTTTAGGTTTTTATAAATATTTTGTCATACACCATAATAATTTTAATTGTCTCTCTTCAAAGTAGTATATTATCAAACGCTTGGTACTTTTATGTTACGCGTATTATATAACAGTAATATAATCATTACATTAGAATAATAAATGTGTTATTTAACAATTCTTGGTTTTAGTTACCACATATTTCTCAAAGAGACATTAAAAAACTCAGTGTTCACATTACAAATTTAATAACAACGTTTAAATAAATATTTATAAGTTAATTTTATTTTTATTTTTGTTTTTGTTTTTAAGAGGCTAAAAGTATGTAATTGTATAAAATTGCAATAGTTTTGTCCTCACCTAAAAAACAATCTTTTCTTTCCGATCTCTGCATATCGACGGCTGCAATTTAACGGCTTAAGCGACGTTGGCGATACAGACCGGCGGTTGAGTTTTACGAAACTCAAACTGTGATTCAAAGACGTCAACAGACCACGATCAGACGTCGGAGATAGAAACGTGGACGCGCCGTTGCACAGGTGTTCGATGCTGGGCGACGGCATGTCAGCGATCTATTGAGCGAGCTGGAAAACCGCGGTATTTGAAAAAAAAAACGGATTGATGATCAAGAGTCTCTGAAATGATCGGGGCAAGAAAAGAGGATAACAATTATGACGATAACAATAACAAAAAAACCAAAGCAGGAACAAAAACATTGACCGGCACAGAACAAATTGATTGTTTCATTATTATATTAGATGATTTTTTTCTACAAGATGTTTTCTTGCCGTCGAATTCGATGAACCATGGATCCTGCGTGGAAAAATGACACGGGCAAATAATTCCGAAAGACGTGACACACGAGGCGAATGGCAAAAATACCACATTAGGGTCAAGGAATGCTAAATCGAGTAGTTGCCGATAGCGAGCGGTTACGTATGAACACACGCGTATATACGTGAGCGTGTATATATCCTGCGTGTGTGGGTTCGGTTTATGGCCTATGTCGACGACAACGACACATATGACTTTTTTTGGAAACGATTGACTGAGAAGAAATTAACAGTAATAATAATAATAACAATAACAATTGAAATTTAACGATCTTTCGAGCGGAAAACAACTGAAACCGGTCAATGTGCAGAACACGGTGGTAAAAAATGCATTATAACGAGTGGAGATTTCTCCATAAAGGATCTATACTTCGGAAACTCTCGAGTACACGACCGTGAGCATGAAAAAAAAAATAATAATTTGGTTTACCATAAATACACTAGACTATGAAATCCGATCTTGCCACAGCACACACACATACACACACACACACAGACACACACACACACACACACACACACCACTCACTCACTCACTCAATCACTTGTCCGCAGATGACGATGACGATGAGGGACCGCGAGAGGACGTGGAAAACACGAGTAAACGCACGCGCAACCGACGACCGGTAGCGTATAAGTGCGACTGACGCGCGTCGAACGGACGGACACCGACGGCGGCGGCTGCGGCAGCGGCGCGTAGCGCGAGAGAAAAATCGGCGAGGCCAGGCAGCAGCGCCGCCACTGCTCCCGACCATCAACCCTTTTTTTTCTCTCTCCTTCGCTCCAAAGTGCACCGCGAATCAATCGTTTCGCGACGGAGATGATAATAGTTTGTGCATTTTGCCTGACCTTTTTGCATTATTTTTTTGTTTTCAGAACTGCGCTATCGTACCAACAACGAGAACATAAAGCGTAAAAGTATACCTGCATTTTAATAACACATAAACACGCACTGCATGTGTTCTCCTAGTGGTCGATGGAGTTATTTAACCGTGCAATAAGGAATACGTACGATTGTATATGACATTGTAATGTATTGTATATGTATTGTACATATATACCTGTATATGTAAACGAATTAGTTAATCGTCTTTTTATCACCCGAACGACTGCGTTTTCGATTACTTTGTTGGTTCGACGATAAAAAATGAAAATCAACAACTCGCTCGCGTACATTACTTTATAATTATATTCTACGAACCAATACACGTACCTTGTTTTATCAGTATATGTTTTTGAATTATTAAACATGAATTAGCGCATAGCAAAATTCGTAGCGTACGCGTAAAGTAATTGATTCATTTTTGCCCAACATTAAAATTCAGTACAGTCTAATAAAATCTCAATTGTATGTTGTATTTGAAGTATGATCACATTCAATTTTACAATAATATGATCTCCGTGCAATACCAGTTGAGTCATTACGCACAAAAAATTATTACCTCAAATAATGAACTACAGTTCGCATATCAACGTGTATATTATTATATATACACATATATAATTTAATATATATTATTATATAATTTAGTACGCAAATGCATACTTTCAACAAATTAAGATACTAGACCATCATTATGGGTACCTATGTCGAAAATAATCAATCATCATAAATCATCAATTTTGAATGTTGATAACATAGTCGATTAATTTCGTTTAATCGATATTATGTTAGTAAAAATATTTATAAAACGGTGAATTCCACAGGAAAAAAAGATTTTACTGTGGTCTCTGGTTAAATATTTAAAACGCACGGTTTTAAATCGAAACGTCATAATTTTTATTTTTGTTTTTGTTCAATTGAACAAGACCTTGATAATATTAAAGCTATAACTATTTTAGTCATGAAGGGGGCTAAAAGTCATATTTCAAGTGTAAGAGAAGGTTCATTAACAAATCCCTTGATTCGAATTTTATCTAATCGTAGGGGTTTTCCGATGATTTCAAAGGGTCAATTGAAGTTTGACTTTTATTGCAGAAAAGATCGGAAAGAAATACTAGGGAAGACACGTCCCACGTGGGATTTAACGAAATCGTGCAAATAGAACAAATCAGTCGGACACAAGGAAACGAATCAACAACGTACCTTGGACTTCAGTTTCATCGGATAGTTACTATTTTTCACAATACAAAATCAGTTTAAAAAACCGTAATGCTTTCAAAAGAAAAGTACAAAAATGAAAACAAATATTTTTAATATTAATAAATAATATATTATATATATAATAAAATTATTTTATAGGGGTATATAATGAAATAAATATGAATATTTAATTTATAATATAATTTACAGTAAAGATTGTGGATATTATAATTATGAAAAATCTCATTATTTATAAATTATAAAATTATGAAATATAGGTGCATTTTTTAATCAATACACGAAAACACATTTTTATATTTCATGAAAGCAAAAAATAAATATATATTAATTAAAAAATTAATAATTATTAAAAAGTTGGGTCATTAAAGTATATTTTTACTGTTTCTATTAAATTCTGAATGAAACCAGGAATATATCTTTATTTGAAAACCAATTCAACACTTACCAAAACGTTCATTAAATCATTTAAAAAATATAAAATTTTCAAATGAAAAAATGTAATATAAAAAGAAGAAAAATACTTTGGACGAAATCCTAAGCTGATGTACGTTGTATTTTTGAACAAGTTTTATAGACTTAAAAACTTGATCTGACTAACAGTAAAAAGGTGAAATACATAAAAATGCACTTAGACAGTAAAAACCATCGTCATCGGATTCAAACGTCTTTTTGGAGGGGCTTTCGGAGATTAAGTCCTCTCCAACGGTCGTTTAATTAACCACAATTGGATACACACTGCATAGGGGACAACGTCACACACACACACACATACATACACACTCCGGAGATATATTCGAAATTATCGTTATGTGTCACGTATTAATTTGATAATAATATAATGACCAATGACGACTTGGCATCATACCAATAACATAAAATGTTTTCTACGCGTAGATTTCGTGAAACACGATTGATACACTTGTTCCAGTACAAACATAGTTTCTACTATATTAATACTACGTACGGATATTACGAGTATAATATGCATTGTCGTTAGTGTTGTTCGTTTAAACAGCGATGCTTTTGTATGGCACGTATACGCCAATTTTAATCAGTATGATGTAGCTATTGCAGCAGAACGTTCGGACGAAACGTGCACGCACGGCATAGAACGGACTGCAGTCATCGTCGTTGCCCTATAATATATGCCGACGGGAATGCAACAACAATTGGCCAAACATCGCGCGAGAAACAATAATGAGGGTATACGACTACTGTATGGACGCAATACACATCAATTGATTTACACGCGGAAACTACACTATTATATCGACGATGTTCAACCGTTGGTTTCGAGAGGGTCCTGCTACAACTTCAGGACTCCGGTACGCGTTTCTATGCGGTGAACGTCGAGGTGGCGATGGGGTGCGACGATGACACCATGTCTTTATCATACAATCTAAATCGACCGTGGTCACGCAGACAGCCATTGATAAACATTTCCGGATGATGACTTGGGGGAGAGTATATACTCGTGTATTCTCTCCATAGGCATCACGTACAAGTAGATTATCATCAGATAAAAGTAATGTAACCCGCGACATTATACTATACCCAAACTGCATGATCCTAGAACCATCGAGCTATTAACACGTTTATTCATAATTTCACATACTTCATTCTTAATCTTTCGACATCTATAACGTGTAGGTACTGAAAGTTAAACCATTGAATATAATACATAAAATCGAGTAAAATACATGTATTTGATCTCATTCGATGTTATTACAAAATAATACAAAAGTTTCATTTTATCGCCATGCTAGAATTAGACTTACAATTCGTATACTGATTTAACATACTTCATATTACCGCATAAATACAATTTTCATTTTAATAAGAAGTAAAACAATATCTTCTCTCATAAACGGATATCGGAAGAAAAAACATCAATACACAGTGGAATGTTGTATTTTTAGACAAACGCAATTAAATTCGAGTGGCATTAATCGAACAAAGGAATATTAAAATAACAATCCCTCCACCAATATTTGTTCTCAGTGAATTCATTGCGACCCTTGACTTCCACGCCAAAAACAACATTACGTGATGTAAAATCCAAGAACAAAATGCTTTTAACGCTTTCGAAAAAAAAGAAAAAATATTTCTCTATGGTCTTATAAACAATACTGGAAAACGGACACAAAACCAAAATGAATTTAATAGTCCTACAGCAAGGCTTAAACACGCCATTTTGAATATCATCAAAGCTGAACTTTGTCAAAGACTAAGTACAAATTAGCAATACGCCGTTTTATCTCAAAATCGCATACCGTCTTTTCGACCAGTAATAATTCATTACGCGGAACCATTTTACGATTATTCGCTATCGGGACTGATTCTCTTGCAAACAATAACGCGTGTCTCCACTACAGACGTCTGAAAGCCTTTTGTTTGTCGGATTAAGCTTCATACGTCCCTCTGTCTACGGTAAATAATCTCTACCAACAGTCCATACGCTGTGTGAAACAGGAGTCATTAATTTTTTTTCCGCCCGCCCCAGAAACCTTTCAACAACATTGCGTGCGCCGCAGTGATCCGGCGGCTCTGCCGGAGCTTTTAATCCGCCAACCATGTCCACTGGCTTAAAACTGTTTTGTTCAAAATCATATCTATTTGACCGTACACACGTGGTAAATTATCGTGGATTAATACCGTAGTACAGTTTGTTGTAAATTACATAACACTATAATACCATTGTTTGTTTTTAATTTAAAAACATAAAATAATCGCCTATAATACCAGCCTACGTGTATTTTTTAAATGTTTTGCGCAGTTAATTTCCATTATCATTGCATATGCTATTATTGTTTTTGTTTTTCATTGACAATGCAAAATAATAAAAACTAAAATTAAAATGTTTTTTTTAGATTGATAAACTTTAATTCAAATTTATGAAACACTATTAATAAAAATATAAACTAATGCTAGTTTCGAAAATTACAAACATTACAAAAACAAAAATGTTAGAATAATACAATATGTAACCACAATAATACATGTTCGACAAATAGAAACTATAATAAATTAAGTATTGCTGACAATTTTTTAAATCAAAATCATAGTACAAGTGCATACACGATTGTACTATGATATTTAATAATGTCCCTATTATATCAGTACTTTAGTTTATTTCCAGATTCGGAGAGCAAATTTATTTTATTGGCATTGATTATAAATTGTAAAACTCTCATAGTTTGTGAACAATAAAGACGAAATTAATATTTGAATTGATTTTTCATTACACGTCCGAAATATTTCATTCGTACAACGGTTTAACGATTTAATAAACGCTGATACAATAAAAACATTCACGGTAATCATAAATCGTGATACATAAAGGTCTACCTTTTACTATTCTTTGGAGATTTATTATTGAAAATGTTCACCCAAATAATTTTTATAAGCCGGAAAACGAGACAAAAAAGACATATAAAAACTATATATGTTAGTGATAAGTTAGGAGTTTACAAAGTTTTACCGCAACCGTATCGATATACTCGGTACATATAAATAAGGCGCAAACATGGAAACTTAACAAAAGCAG